AACTTTTGTGCATCAAAGGATATAATCAACAGAGTGAAAGGTCAACCCATGGGATGGGAGAAATATTCACCAATCATTTATTTGATAAGGGGTTTGCTATGGTTTCAAATTCCCCTCAAAACTCATGTTGAAATTTAATTGCCACTGTAACAGTGTTGAAAGATAGGACTTTTAGGAGGTGATTAGGTCATGAGTACCTTCATGAATGGATTAATGCAGTTATCACAGAGTGAATTCGTGGGCTGAGGGTGAGTTTGGACCTATTTCATCTCTCTGTCTCTTGCACTTGCTTCTGCCTCAGGCTTTCCACCATAGGATAACCCTCACCAGATGCTGACACCACGCTCTTGGATTTCCCAGAACCATGAGCCAAATAAACTTTTGTTCTTTATAAATTATCCAGGCTTGAGTATTCTGTTATAGCAGCACCAAATGGACTAATATATAGTTAATGATCAAGAATAAATAAAGGACTGCTACAACTCCTATAACAAAAGAATCAAATACCTCAATTAGAGAATGAACAAAGGATTTGAATAGACATTTCTCTAAAGATGATATACAAATGGTCAATAAATAAATAAAAAGATGCTCAATATCACCAATCATTAATCATCAGAGAAACACAAATCAAGACCACAATGAGCTGTCTGTCACCTGGTACCTATTAAGATAGCTGTTATTGAAATAACAGAAAATAATAGGTGTTGGTGAGAACATGGAGAAACTGAAACCCCTGTCTACTATTGGTGGGGCTGGAAAATGGAGCAACTGCTTTGAGAAAAAGTATGAAGCCTCCCCCAAAAAATTAAGAGCAGAACTACCATATGACCCAGCAATCTCACTTCTTGGCACATATCCACAAGAATTGAAAAGAGGGTCTTGAAGAGATATTTGAAAACCCATGTTCATAGCAGCATTATTCATAATAGCCAAGAAGCAGAAGAGCTCAAAATGTCCATCACCAGATGAACAGATAAACAAAATGTGGTATATACATATACTGGAATGTCATTTGGCCATAAAAAGGAAGGAAAACTTGTTACATGCTATAACATGGATGAACCTTGAGGACACTATGCTAAGTAAAATAAGCCAGTTACAAAAGAATAATAGTATATGATTCTACCTATATGAGGTATCTAGAGTAGTCCAATTCACAGAGAAGTGGTGATTACCAGAGGCTGACGGGAGAGGGGAAAAAAGAGTTGTTTAACAGGCACAGAGTTCCAGATTTACAAGATGAGAAGATTCTGGAGATCTGTTTCACAGCTATGTGAATATACTTAAGACTACCAAAAAGCACACTTAAAAATGATTAAGATAGTCATTTTTTTTCTTCTTTTTTTTTTTTTTCTGAGATGGAGTCTCGCTCTGTCACCCAGGCTGGAATGCAGAAGTTCACTCTCGGCTCCCTGCAACCTCCGGCTCCTGGGTTCCAGCGGTTCTCATGCCTCAGCCTCCCAAGTAGCTGGGACTACAGGCATTCGCCCCCACACCTGGCTGATTTTTGTATTTTTAGTAGAGATGAGGTTTCACTATGTTAGCCAGACTGGTCTCGAACTCCTGACCTCAAGTGATTCACCTGTCTCGGCCTCCCAAAGCGCTGGGATTATAGGTGTGAGCCACCATGCCTGGCCAAGATGGTAAATTTTATGTTATGGTTGTTTAACCACAACTTTTAAAGAAGTTTTCTGAAAAAAGGACACAAGGAAGGGATGCCCTCTCCCTCAATTTGTAACTTTTTGTGGGGATGCACATCTGAAATCACTATAGCCATCCTATTATTACCAAGGGAACGTGAGACATGCTGAGGAACATAAAGCAGAAAAATGCCTTGGGTCTTCGGGCCCATGATTCAACTGACCTTGGAGCCGTGTGCCTCAGGACTTCTTGTTATGTGACATGACATCCTTTTCTTATTGGTTACACCACTTGTATTTTCCGTTGCTTGAGACCAAAAGCATCTAACTGATTGCATTACTACTGCCTCAAAATAAAGGGGGTGCTTGAAGAAGCTCCATTAGAAAGTAACTTTCAGAGGGCGGGCACTTTTGTCAGCTTTGTTCACTGCTGAGTTCCTGGCACATAAAATAGTGCCTGGCACATAGTGAGTGCTCAATAAATATTTGGTAAACGAACAAAAAGAAAGTTTAGGATCTCTGTTCTCCTACATCTTCTACCTCTTATTCAGTTCCTTCAGGGCTCTGTCACCTACACAGGGAGGCCTTCTCTGAAACCCCCAAACCCTTGTCCCCCTAAAACCCTCATTAGAACCTCCAGTTACATGTCATCATTGGATACTACATTTTTCCACTGTAGCATTTCTTTTTTTTCTTTTCTTTTCTTTTTTTGAGATGGAGTCTCGCTCTGTCACCCAGGCTGGAGTGTAGTGGCACGATCTCGGCTCACTGCAACCTCCACCTCCCAGGTTCAAGTGATTCCCCTGCCTCAGCTTCCCAAGTAGCTGGGACTTCAGGCATGCACCACCACACCCAGCTAATTTTTGTACTTTCAGTAGAGACAGGATTTCACTATATGTTGGCCAGGCTGGTCTCGAACTCCTGGCCTCAAGTGATGCGCCTGCTTCGGTGTCCCAAAGTGCTGGGATTATAGGTGTGAGCCACCGCGCCCGGCCTCACTGTAGCATTTCTTATAGCTGCACTTAATTATTTACTGGCATAATTACTCATTATTTGTTTAATGACTCTCTCTCCCACTGGACTGCTCCATCAAAGCAGGAACCAACGGGTGAAAAAATGGTATGTGGGGAAGGCAAAAAAAAGCAGGAACCAAGTCCTGCTCATGGTTGTAGCCTCAGCCTCCAGCAGTGATTAGCACAGCGCAGGCACTTAAAAATTTTTTTTTCTAAGATATTCAAACTCTATCTTGGCTCTACATGAAAACATAAAAATCCAAGTTGTAAATTAGTCTTTTTGACTAATTTAGAATTTTATTAAGTTGTTTGCACCTAGGTTGAAGAATCAAGGAAGGTGGCTGGGCGTGGTGACTCACGCCTATAATCCCAGCACATTGGGAGGCCAAGGCGGGTGGATCACCTGAGCTCAGGAGTTCGAGACCAGCCTGGGCAACATGAAACTCTGTCTCTACTACAAAAATTAGCTGGGTGTGGTGGCAGGCGCCTGTGATCCCAGCTGCTCAGGACTCTGAGGTAGGAGAATTGCTTGAACCCAGGAAACAGGAGGTTGCAGTGAGCTGAGATTGTCCATTGCATTCCAGCCTGGGTGACAAGAGTGAAACTCCATCTTTAAAAAAAAAAAAAAAAAAAAAAAAGAATCCATAAAGGTATTATTTACTAAGTTCCCAGGAACTTGGATGAGAAATGTCTTTTTCAAATTAAGCTGTGGCATTTGGGGGATTTCAAAAGCCCCAGTAGAATAAATATTTCATAATAGAAAGGATAGAGTCTCTTATGAAATCTAAGAATAGATTTGTAATGTTCTTCTTTTAAGGACCATTTTCATCTTCTTGGTTTTGGAACACTCATGTTTGACATTATTTGATTCATCTCTCACTACTTCTCTATAAAACTGCCACTGCTACCCACAAACAGATTTTGCCAAACTGAAAATCTCCTTTTTCTTTTTTTAGGGACAGGGTTATGCTCTGTCACCCAAGCTGGAGTATGGTGATGCAATCATAGCTCATTGCTCAAATTCTTGGGCTCAAGCAAGGCTGCTGCAGCCTCCTGAGGAGCTGAGACTACAGGTATACGCCACCATACCCAACTAATTTTTTAAATTTTTTGTAGAGATGGAGGTCTCACTATGTTGCCCAGTCTGGTCTCAAACTCCTAGCCTCCAGTGATCTTCCTGCCTTGGCCTCCCAAAGCACTGAGATTACAAGTATGAGTCACTGCACCCAGCCTGAAAGTCTATTTTTATTGTATTATCTATTCCATCACCACTCATTCATTTATAATACAAAGTTAATTTGTTTGGTAAGAACTGTATTTGCCATTCAAACTGGGACAACCCTCATTACACTGTGGAATCCTGTAATTACTTCATAAAATAAGGGGAAAGGGCTGGGCACGGTGGCTCACGCCTGTAATCCCAGTACTTTGGGAGGACGAAGTGGGCAGATCATTTGAGGTCAGGAGCTCAAAACCAGCCTGGTCAACATGGTGAAACCTTGTCTCTACTAAAAATACAAAAATTAGCTGGGCACAGTGACGCACACCTGTAATCCCAGCTACCCGGGAGGCTGAGGCAGGAGAATCACTTGAACCCAGGAGGCGAAGGTTGCAGTGAGACGAGATTGCACTACTGCACTCCAGCCTGGGGCAACAGAGTGAGACTCTGTCTCAAAAAAAAAAAAAAAAAAAAAAAGGGTAAGTTGGGAGGAAGGAGTGGAACAAGAATAAAGCAGCCATGTGGAAACTAGTTTCTACTACTTAAGGAAATGTAATGCAATGTTAACAGTGTAAACAGTTTAGAAGCACGGTGGGAGAAACCTTTTCCAGGACAATAAATGATAGCTTTGGTGACAACATACATTCTACACTTGCAGTGTCCAATACGATGGACATTAGCTATATACACAGCTAGTGAACTCTGCGTGAGTAAAAATAAAACACTCAGTTCCTCCACTGTACTAGTCACATTTCAAATACTCAACAGCAACATGTGGCTAGTGGCTGACCTGTTGCACAGGGCAGATATAGTTCTATCATTGCAGAAAGTTCTATGGGACAGCATGAGTCTATGTGTTCCTCCCAATAATTACTATCAATGGGTGATAGAAGCATTAAAATCACCGAGAGAGACACGCAAGTGGAGAGACAGCCATACTGTAAACGCAAAAGATCTACTTCCCACTGCATTCTACTTGGGAATAAATTTCTTAAACATATTCCCTCCCTGCCTCCGTTACTGAGTAACAGATTTGGAGTTTTTAAAAAAAACCTCTTTGGTTAAATGAGGGAGAATCTACTCTTTTTCTCTGTTGAGTGATCTGGGCATTGAATGCAAACTTACAGTTTGGTCTCATCTGCCTCTTTCTGCATGATTTCAAGAATCATGCGGCATGCTTCAGAAGTCCCCTCTGGGGTGGCATGGATGGTGACAGGCTTCTCTGCAGCTCCAGAGTTCTCTTTTCTATGGATGTCTACCCTGTAGGAAAAGAATCAGGAGCCATGATTACAAGGTCATCTGGATAGGACCCTAGTCCCAAGAAAGCGTCACACCAGCCAATGTACAGCAAGGACACAGACAGACAAGGAGGCGTCATCAGCACGTTTGCAATCAATGCCATTCTCCAAGAAGGAGGCAAGCAGTGCAAGGGGTCTTGTGCCAAATTTTAATTATTTGCAGCTCCATTTAGACGGGAACGGTTCTTACAGGAGTGCTGTAGGACAAAGGCACTAAGCCAACTCAGTAATGAAGCCAGTTTGGTAAATGAAGTATTTTGTGTAGTCTTTCAAATGACTGCAGAAGTGAAGAGTAAAGTGAGAAGGATAATACTGCACATTGGCACAGTGCCGGTCTCTGAACTGATTGCAGCTTTTAAAAGCCATATGTTAATCCAAATCCAAACACCAAATTCAAGCAAGCTTTATATATTTGAGTGTGGATAGAAAACAGAGGCATGCCCTCTCTCTGCCTCTCTAAGTTTTTGGTTTCCTTTCCATTGGCAGCCTGCCATTAAGACTAATGGCTCAAAAGCTTGATGACTTTATCAGACTTCTTTGGGTAGCTGTGGTCCTACCTGTTTTTGTTAACTTTCAAAATTACATACTTGATTATATCCTTTTTACTCTGGCTGTGAGAAAGCCTAGAGCCAAGTCTCTGGTTGACTTCTAAAAAATGGGCACACTTTGAGAGCTAACCCCACTTCTATTTAAACTTGTTACATTTTTTTTCTCAAGCCACCTTAAACGATTTTTGGAACAAAAAGACATAAATAAAAGTCACTTTCACAGTGAACTTGGAGGGAAAGCCAGGGCTGATTTAAAAATAAAAGGAATACCAAACAGTGACCTCCCTCTCTATTTCTTCACTTCTTTCCTAAGATGCAGCACTGCAGACTCATCTATATCAGTGTCTATTATTTGGGGATATATAAGACATTTTGAAGAAAATAGCATTTCTCTTTCAGGTTACAAGACACTCACTGAATGACCCGAATAAAGTGCACTAGCCCATGTAAATAATTACTATGTGTTAGTAATTGGGTGCTTTGCAATTTAAGTACTTTCATATTAATTATTTCACTCAATCTGCCTGATTATGCTAATTGTCATAATAATCCTGGCAAAACAGACAGGAACCCTCTATTTATTTATTTATTTATTTATTTATTTATTTATTTAGAGATGGCGTTTCACTCTGTTGCCCAGGCTGGAGAGCAGTGAGCAGCCATCTTGACTCACTGCAACCTCCACCTCCTGGGTTCAAGCGATTCTCCTGCCTCCGCCTCCCAAGTAGATGGGATTACAGGCATGAGCCACCGCACCTGGCTAATTTTTGTATTTTTAGTAGAGATGGGGTTTCACCATGTTAGCCAAGCTGGTCTCGAACTGCTGACCTCAGATGATCCCCCTGCCTTAGCCTCCCAAAGTGCTGGGATTACAGGGGTGAGCCTCTGTAATACAGAGGGTGCCTGGCCTGAACCCTCTTTTTATAGAAGAAGCAAATGATGCTCAGAGAGGTTAACATCTTTTCCAAGATCATAAAACCATTTAAAGTGCTACAACTTGAACGTGAGTCTTTGTTTTCAAGTCCTAAGCTTGCTTTATTACATCATGCTACAGTCTTAGGAGGATATAAAAATCAACAACTCCACAAGACATTTGATTCACTCCAACTCTTATAACCAGTTTAGTCTCCTTGAACAGAGAGGAAACTAAACAGAAGGCCAATGTGCTTTATTTCTTGCTTGACGTGGCAGTGACTCACCCACTTCTTTGTGAGACTACCTATGTGGTCACAAAGAATGGCCACCCTCAGGGATCTGACTCAGGGGAAGAGGAAGAGCTATGATGAGTGGGTTCTAGGATCCCGCAGAGCTCTACATCTCTGCTTTTGTAGAAATCGATGCATCCATAAGCATTAGTTCGCTTACAGGAACAGTCCTGGCTGTGAGGTTATCAGTACCCTCTTTATGAACCTTTAGCCTCTCAGCATGAAAGCTTATCACAGCCCCCAGCTTGATGTTAGTCTGTTAGTAGTCCTGTTGAAAGAAGCCACTGTTTCTGACAGCACAGCCCCCCACTGCTGATGTAAGCAGTTGTGACCTAAGAGTGGCTGAGACCCACCAGCACGCAGGGGACCCCTCAGAAGGAAGCAAAGGAAGCCCCAGAGGCACGTACCGGGACTGGGTCTGCTTAGTGATGTTCTTTATGGTCAAGCCCTCCTTTCCGATGATGGCACCAACAAACTGGGTGGGGACCAGGATCCGCAGCGGGAAATCAATCTGTCTGGCCTGAGAAGTGCCCCCAGGGGCGTGGCCTTGCTCCCGGGAAGAGTGGTCCCCACGCTGGGCTCGCTGAGGGGGCGAAGGGGAGCTCACCTCTTCATCCGGGATGTAGGAAATCTTGAAGGAGTAGTTCTCAAACTGATGCCCGCTAAGCTTCTCCATGGCTCTGAAATGCAGCAGGAAGCGGAGCTTCATCAGAAACCAACATCAAGAAAGACCCTCCTGCAAGACTGGTTCATTCACTCCCCATTTAATAGGTACCTATATAGGTGCCATGCCAGGCACTGAACATACACTGGTGAGCAAGACAGACACCATCTCCGCTTCCTCAGGGCTTGCGGTTAACAGTTAAACAAGTAATCACAATGGATCAGCCTGGTCAGGCTTCATATCCAACATTGCAGCCTGGTTTCTCCACCACTCCAAGGCCATTTCCCCCTTATCAAAAACTTTTATAAATATCAGCATAAAATTATGACTCATTTCTTCTCATTTTAATTATCATACATATTATTGAAAATTCAGAAATATGTAGGTGCAAATAAAATCCTAATCCACTATCTTTACTGTCTTAAATATAAACATATTATTTATAAAAATGGGTTAATACTGTACATACTATTTTCTAATCTTTTAAAAAAATTAATATTCTAAGCACTTTTTAATATCACTAAATACCTTTCAGTATAATTTTCTCACACATGACTCAACTGCAGTATCAGTATAATTTTTAATGACTGTTTAACATTCTATTGATTTACCATAGTTTTTGCAACTGATCCTTTATAGTTAGATATCTGTTGTGTCCAACCTTTTACAGTTACATACAGTGTCACCATCGACATTTTTGCAACTACAACTTTGCACAGAGGACAAATTCCTAGCAGAATTGTTAAGTATTGCCCAGGGGTCCCCTGGAATGGTTTCAACATTTATGATCCCATAGCAGTTTAGGAGAGAGCATTTGTGTCCTCGAATCTTCAAATGCACAGAGTGCTATTATTTATATTCTTAAAATGACATATGAAGTAGAATATCCTTTTTAGTATATTTTTAGTAGAATTAACCCAATTTTACTAGGTTAATGTTTAGGACTTGTAAATTTATTATGAAAAAGCACCTTTTGAATTTAATAAAAGCAATAAAGTAATATCATGTACAGAGGTCCACCCAAGCAGCAGCTAGATAAGGGCTGTGGACTTCAGCTGTTGGTATATCTCCACTTACAAATGTGTACAAGGTAAAGTTAACACTAAATGAACTATTACCTTTTTTTTTTTTTGAGACAGAGTTTCACCCTTGTTGACCAGGCTGGAGTGCAATGGCGCAATCTCGGCTCACTGCAACCTCCGCCTCCCAAGTTCAAGCAATTCTCCTGCCTCAGCCTCCCGAGTGGCTGGGATTACAGGCATGCGCCACCACACCCGGCAAATTTTGTATTTTTAGTAGAGACGGGGTTTCTCCATGTTGGTCAGGTTGGTCTTGAACTCCCGACCTCAGGTGATCCGCCCATCTCAGCCTCCCAAAAGGCTGAGATCACAGACATGAGGCACTATGCCTGGCCTGAATTATTACCTTTTTCAATGCAAAATTAACATTTTGAAAACTAGCAGTATGAAAATGGATTAAATATCTTTGTATGTTGAAAAAGAACACTATAATCCTGGGATGTATAGCGAAGGTTACGCCACATCCATAAAGCAAGACCAAATGTGACCATAATTCTAGTTATAATAACCTGACAGGCACTTTAAGGACCTCCTACAAAAAAGGAACTTGTTTTTGTTGTTCTTTTAGAGATAGTGGTCTTACTATTTTGCCCACGCTGGTCTCAAACTCCTGGTTTCAAGTAATCCTCACCCTCCCAAGCAGCTGGGATTATAAGCATGTGCCACCACATCTGGCTGCTGCTGCTGAGAGGCAGCATCTCGCTCTGTTGCCCAGGCTGGACGGTAGTGGTGCAATCACAGCTTACTGCATCCTTACCATCCTGGGCTCAAGTGAGCCTCCTGCCTCAGCCTCCCAAGTAGCTGGGACTATAGGTGTAAGCCACCATTCCCAGCTAATTTTTAAAATTGTTTTTGCAGAGACCAGGTCTCCCTATGTTGTCCAGGTTGGTCTCAAACTCTTGGGCTCAAGCAATCCTCCGGCCTTGCCCAAAATGCTGCGATTACAGGCATGAGCCACCAAGCCTGGCGTCATCGTATTTTAAGAGACTTGATCTCATGTCCATTAATAGCTAAGCTCAAAATTAACCATCCCTGAAGTAATGAATGGGCACTGGAAAGAGGATGGGGATTGGAGAAAAGAACTCAAACCAGGTGCTACTGATTAACCACTCTTAAGACAATTCTCTCAGCTGCTGCTGTCACTGAGGTGGATTCCCTCTTAATGTTATACACACAAGATTAATGTTTTGGTATAGGCTTGTGTTGGTTCCTCATGGTGCATGGAGGAAACTCTAGGTAAAAGTGGTCCCAAGTGTTTGGCAAAGCAGAGTCTAGGGGACACAGTGTCACAGATATGGTGCCCTCTATTCCTGATCATGTCAAGACACAGCTCCCATCTTGGTTTTGATGCCAAGGCTCAACATTTTTCAAGTCTCTATGCAGTCCACAAATATCCTGGTGCGAATGTCCTTGAGCTCCACTGACATGTCAAAGATGGCAGGAACACCCTGGAGCCCTACCAACATGTCAAAGGTGGCTCAGATGGCCATGGATACATCAAAGGTAGCAGATATCCAGCTCACAGATCTGCATCTTTTTAGAAAACATTTAAAAACACAGAACTCAATGGAATTCAAAGATGAAAATAAATAAATTTAAACAGAAATAAGCCCAAATCTGCTTACATTTTTGCTTCTTCCCTTGTTGCATACGTGACGTTGACAACGGCAGTTTCTGTGTCTGTGTTGACTAGGGAAAAAGCAAAAACTACACTGTCATAGGAAAAAGCACTGTCACCCTCTGGCTTAATGTAAACAGACAAACTTTAGAGAAAAACACATAAAAACCCTCATCACACTGGCTCCATAGTTATCTGAATGTCTGTGTTTATTCACCTGAGTTCATAGTAATTTGTAATCAATTGTACATAACACATTCGTGATTAATCGTAAAAACAACTCAGAACCATATTTTCCACATATTGTAGAAACACTTTTATACGAATATTTTGTATCAGTACATTTTCTTTGTATCTTTTATTTCTAATGTCTATATAAAATTGCAGTGAGTCAAATGTACTGCCTAACCACTCCCCAATTGTTGGCAAGTAGGCTGTTCCCACTATTTGCTATTCTAAATAGTGTTGCTAAAAATCACCTTTGTTGCAAACATTACTGGATTGTGTGTTCTTCTGAATTACTTCTTTAGGCTAAAATCACAGAAGAAAAGTAATGCAGTAAAAGAACACGATGATTTTTTTTTTTTGAGACAGAGTCCTGCTCTGTCACCCAGGCTGGAGTGTAGTGGCACAAACGAGGCTCATTGCAAGCGCCAAGCTCCGCCTCCCGGGTTCACGCCAGTCTCCTGTCTCAGCCTCCCAAGTAACTGGGACCAGGTGCCTGCCACAATGCCCGACTAATTTTTGTATTTTTAGTAGCGACGGGGTTTCGTCATGTTAGCCAGGATGGTCTCGATCTCCTGACCTCGTGATCTGCCTGCCTTGGCCTCCCAAAGTGCTGGGATTACAGGCGTGAGCCACTGCGCCCAGCCGCCACGATGCTTTTTAATGCGTATTTTCAGACTGGTCTCCTAGAAGTTTGTATCAATTTATTGCATCACTATCAAAGTATGAGTTTTAATTATAATTTGCATTAACTCTTAAATAATTGGATATACATATAAAACAATAGGAAAATGTTTTAATTTAAATTATTCATTCATTGACAAGGTTGAACCATCACTATTTTTGTTTCCCTTTGACTGAACTTTTTGACTGTGTGAATTAAATCTAATCAATGAAACCGACAATTCTTTTTTTTTTTTTTCTTTTTTTCTTGGACTTCGTTCTTTTTTTTTTTTTTCACTTTTGTTTTGTTTTGTTTATTTATTTATTATTATTATTATACTTTAAGTTCTAGGGTACATGTGCATAACGTGCAGGTTTGTTACATATGTATACTTGTGCCATGTTGGTGTGCTGCACCCATCAACTCGTCAGCACCCATCAACTCGTCATTTACATCAGGTATAACTCCCAATGCAATCCCTCCCCCCACCCCAATGATAGGCCCCGGTGTGTGATGTTCCCCTTCCCGAGTCCAAGTGATCTCATTTAAAACCGACAATTCTAATTTCCTTGGCTAAAAGGGAAAAGTATAAACTCTATGATTGGCCAATAAGGGATTACTCTTGTGAACTGTCTTATCATAGATCATAATTTCTTGCTTCTTCTTCTATAGTTAGAAATTAAAAATAAATTCAAATGCCAGAGAAAACTTTCTCAATCCAAGCCAGTAAACTTAAACACCAAAAATATGTGTTTCCCAAAACAAACATAGGTGACTAGATCAATTCTTCCCTTTAAGACATTTAAGCTGTTGGGAGTTTGGAGTTAACAACAACATAAAGTTAATAAGAATTCAAGAAAATTATGATAAAGCTGCTGTCCAAAGTAATAAACTGTATAATCTACGATTCTTTACCCTGGACCCATGCTTGAGCTTCAAGAATTCGATAAACCCCTCCAAAATGATTCAAACTTGTGGAAATGTGAATTTTTCTGGTTATTTTATAAGATTTGCAAAGGGACCTGAGACTCCAAAAAACTTAAGGACTACTGTTAAAAATACTGTTTGTTAAATAACTTTAAAGTAGTTGCAGCCTTTATGGGTTGCAGGGAGCTGTATGTAATGCTCAGAAAGAGCTGCCACTGAGAATGACATGAATAAACCCGAGCCCAGCCCTGGCCTTTACCTGGAGTGTCCATAGCACACTTTAATTAACACTTAACCCAGAAAAGTCCTCACAGTGCAAAACAGGGGAGATGCAGCCCATAACTGTCCTCTCTCAGTGCTGACACAGAGAATGCTACAAAGGTTTCATATTTGCTGCTTTCTAGTGCTACAGATGAGACTGTAGACTCCCAGAAAGGGCTGGGTTTGAACCTCCTGAATAAAGCTATCCATTAGAATTCTCAGATTCTGTGGTCACTTCTTAGTCATATTCTCTGTTCTTCAAAGATGTTAGTCTTCAGGAAATCGGCAGTTCTTTCATTCTGTGACGAGCTAAGCTCCATTCAAATAATTTATTTCACTGGACATGAAAGTTCTATAAAGTTGCCTAAAACTCTACTGAAAATATTTTCCTGCTGAATCAGGAATCACTCATGTAACAGGACAAAACAATAGCCCAACAGTTCTATCCTATTGTTGTTAGGCAGCTGGAAACTGGGGGTTCTCTAGGGCACAGCTGCCCTGGGAGCTGTAAACTGCCCCAGGAACCTGGAATATATTTTTCTTGTGTAGCATTGTCCTAAGTTTATAATATAATATTAATTAGTAACTTTTACAGGTTCATATCTGCAAGGCCATATTGCCTACAACATCCAATCACTACAATGTCTTCTTTTCTGCCGGGCATGGTGGCTCACGCCTGTGATCCCAGCACTCTGGGAGGCCGAGGTGGGTGGCTCAGTTGAAGCCAGGAGCTTGACGCCAGCCTGGCCAACATGGTGAAACCCCGCCTCCACTAAAAATACAAAAATTAGCCAGTCATGGTGGCACTCACCTATAATCCCAGCTACTAGGGAGGCTGAGGCACGAGAATCGCTTGAACCCGGGAGGCGGAGGTTGCAGGGAGTGGAGATCGTGCTCCTGTGCTCCAGCCTGGGCAACAGAGTGAGACTCCGTCTCAAAAAAAAAGAGAGTCTTCTTTCCATGTTGAAGGAAATAAGAACTAAGAAATAGAATCCTTGTAATCATGTCTTCTTTCTGAGCTCTTTCCCTTCACCTTTGGGCATGGGCAGGCAGCAGCATGGAACTGAATAATATCTGAATAATTACTGCTTTTAAACTATTAAACTGGCAGAATAGATCACATACAAGAAAATGGGTTATTTGCCATTTTTCCTAAGTGAACTTGAACAATCCCATAAGCTTATGTATGACTCTGCTGTCTACAAACGCCTTACACAGGTTCTCTTTGGGTGCCACAACTATTCGGTGATACAGGAAGGGTAGAAACTTTTCTCTCAATTTTACACTTGTGCATACTGAGTCAGTGAGGTTAAGTGACTTTTTCAAGGGTTCGCAGTCAGTAAATGACTGAATTTACACATTCTGTTTTCTAGGTCAAGTCAAAAATAATCTTGATCACGTATTATTGCCTGTCACGTCAGGAGTTTGGAATCTACTTCTCTGGGACTCTTAAAGAGCTACATAAGATAACAACTTTAGGTACCATTGTTTTTCTTTTAAAAATCATAGTATTTCATGCTTTAGAAGATAAAAAAGAAGCTGGCAGGAAGAAAAGTATCTTCTGAGCATTTTCAGCACCGTTCCTGAGACAGGTGTTCTCAAACTTGAGTGTACACAAAAATCACTTCGGGGTTTGTTTTTTTTTTGAGACGGAGTCTCACTCTGTCGCCCAGGCTGGAGTGCAGTGGTGTAATCTTGGCTCACTGCAACCTCCACCTCCTGGGCTCAAGCGATTCTCGTGCCTCAGCCTTCCAAGTAGCTGGGATTGCAGGCATGCACCACCATACCTGGTTAATTTTATATTTTTAATATAGATGGGGTTTTGCCATGTTGGCCAGGCTGGTCTCGAACTCTTGGCCTCATGTGATCTGCCTGCCTGGGTGTCCCAAAGTGCTGGGATTATAGGCATAGGCCACCATGCCTGGCCTCGGGTGCTTTTTTAAATATAGATTCAAGAGCTCTTCCCTGCAAGACTCTTACTTAGTAGGTCTACAGTAAGCCCTAGGAATCTGCATTTCACAAACACTTCAAGGGATTATTGGTACAGGAGTCCTATTTGTTGGGTAACACTCAGTCCAAGACATTAGGGATCTGTTTCTCTTATCCAGGAAAAGGAAAGTAGCAACCGTGTAAGTCCAATTACTCCTAAGTGAATTAAGCTTACCCTAGCCTGACAGCACTTGAGCACACTGCACAGTATATGAGAAACAGCTTGTAAATAATATTCCTCGAAAAGGCAAACTATATAGACATAGACAGAGACAGGTATCTCTAACACATAGATGTAAATACATATACTCTAGGAAGTTTATTTCAAAGAAATATGAACTTAATATTTCTCCCTGGAGTTGACCTAATCTATAAGAAATAACAGGTAATATCTCACTCCAAAACCAGGCTAACTTCCTCAGTTATTACCTTGTTCCACATTCTCCACTGTCCCATATTGAGCCAAAAGTCCATCCAACACCTAAAAGAGAAAGCTTCCATGTCAGAATGGGAAGGCAAGATCATACGTACAAAAAACACTACAGTAATATCCCCCCGCAAATGAATTAAAGAAAAATAAAAAGATGGTTATAGGAATAATCTAATTAAATTGATATTTCAGGTCTTCCATAAAAACAGAACTGAACAAACATATGGGACCTTCATTCGCTTATTGGCTCCCAAATAATCTGTTCACTAAGGTTACACAGCAGAATTTCAATCTTAGTAACTGTTAACAATCACATTCATCATGATGGTTGGAACACACTACTCTTATAATGAGAAGCAGAATAAAGTACAAGGCTCACTCCACTTTCTTGAAATATTTAACAACTCTTTTACAAGGATCTCTTCATTTTACAAGGTAATAGGATGTGTACGTTTGAAATTTTCCATAATAATCAGGTTTTTTGTTTTGTTTTGTTTGAGATGGAGTCTCCCCTCTGTCACCCACACTGGAATGCAGTGGCGCCATCTCGGCTCACAGTAACCTCCACCTCCTGGGTTCCAGTGCAGCAATTTTCCTGCCTCAGTCTCCTGAGTAGCTGGGACTACAGGTGCCCGTCACCATGCCCAGCTAATTTTTGTATTTTTAGTAGAAACGTGGTTTCACCATGTTGGCCATGCTAGTCTCACACTCCTGACCTCAGTGATCCTCCTGCCTTGGCCCCCCGAAATGCTGGGATTTAGAGGCATGAGCCACCATGCCCAGCCAATAATCTTGTTTTTTTTTTTTTTTTTAAAGTAATAAAAACATTAGATAAAACATTGTTTCCTTTAAGGCACTGTGATTTTCTTTGGGTTGGGGAATAAAATATGGGGCAGTTTGTTTTTAAATAATGCAATAAGGCCACTCCTCATATTCTTATTTTAAGGTAGAAATCTTATAAGCTTTACAACTCTGAAAATATATCTTAACTATTACAGCAACTAATTCAAAACAAACAAAAAATTCTGCTAAAACCAACAAAGACTTTTCTACTTTTGTTGCCTTTTCATCAACTTTTTTTTTTTTCAAATTATAATCTGGAAAGATAAAAATCTTTTTAAAAATCATGAGATACAAGGCAGGTGGATTGCTTAAGCCTAAGAGTTCGAGGCCAGCCTAGACAACATAGCAAAACCTCATCTCTACAAAGAATACAAAAATTAGCCAGGCGTGCTGGCATGCATCCATAGTCCCAGCTACTCGGGAGATTGGGGTGGGAAGATCCTGGAGCCGGCTGCAGTGAGCCATGATTGGGCCACTGCACTCCAGCCTGGGTGACAAAGTGAGACACTGTTTCAAACAAACAAACCAACAAACCATGAGATACAAATCACGAACCAGGTATATATTTTGTTTCTTGGCTTATTTGCTGGTGCTTGGTAGCATGGTACTTGAAAAGACAGAGCCTGAGGGATCAAAGTACACATTCTATGAAAGAAACAAATACGACCCCAAACTCATTACAGATCACATACATGAGGGTACTGAAAAGAATGAGGCAGGACGCAGAAGCTTTGTGGGAAACTCTGAGGCCCTCTAATTCCTAAATGTAAAATGGAACTAAAGAAGGGAGAAATGTCTCATCAACCCATTAAAACTTGACACTGGCTTACCTCCCACTGCAGGTGAGGAGGGATGTTTCGAATCTGAATTTTCCTGCTCCTGTAAAGACAAAACCACAGACTGTAACACTTTCTCCAGGACACAAACTGTAGCAAATAATAAAAACCGGCTTAAATCTGTCATTTGAGTTGCTTTCTCACTGTGTTCACCATGGCATCAACAAAAAATTCCTAGTGTGAATCAAGAGCACAGTTGTTTGGTTGTTGTATTTTTCGAGACAGAGTCTCGCTTTGTCGCCAAGGTGGGGTACAGGTGGTGTGGTCTTGGCTCACTGCAACCTCTGCCTCCCGGGTTCAAGTGATTCTCCTGCCTCAGCCTCCCAAATAGCTGGGATTACAGGTGCCCACCACCACATCTAATTTGTGTGTGTGTGTGTGTGTGTGTGTGTGTTTTTCCCAGACGGACTCTCGCTCTGTTCTCCAGGCTGGAGTGCAGTGGCATGATCTTGGCTCACTGCAACCTCTGCCTCCCGGGTTCAAGTGATTCTCCTGCCTCAGCCTCCTGAATAGCTGGGATTACAGGTGCCCGCCACCACACCTGATTTTTGTGGGCTTTTGTTTTGTTTTTTTTTTAGATGGGGTCTCACTCTGTCATCGAGGCTGGAGTGCAGTGGCGCGATCTCGGCTCACTGCAACCTCTGTCTCCCAGGCTTAAGCGATTCTCCTGCCTCAGTCTCCCAAGTAGCTGGGATTACAGGCATGCACCACCATGCTCAGCTAATTTTGTATTTTTAGTAGAGACGGGGTTTCACCATGTTGGCCAGGCTGGTCTCGAACTCCTGACCTCAAGTGATCTGCCTGCCTTAGCCTCTGAAAGTGCTGGGATTATAGGCATGAGCCACCGCGCTGGCCTCATGAGCATGTTTTAAGGTTTTCAATTACTTTGGGGGGTGGTGGGGGGGAAGAAATCCCAAGAAGCTTTAAAAAAAATCAGTAATTTAAATACAGACTCATCTTTTCAATTTCCTACCAAAGCAGTTAGAATGTAAGTCATCATACAGATTCTATTTATAGAATTATCCCCTTCTTCCTCAAAATACATTGGCCTGCAACTGACCCTACCCCAAAGTGTACCTAGGCTCAAACAGGACAGGTGAGGTCATATATAGTGGGCTTCAACAAGATCAGGTTTAGCTGCCCCCTTATCTAACAATGCAAAATGTCATTTAAAAATATTTTTATGGCCGGGCGCGGTGGCTCAAGCCTGTAATCCTAGCACTTTGGGAGGCCGAGACGGGCGGATCACGAGGTCAGGAGATCGAGACCATCCTGGCTAACACGGTGAAACCCCATCTCTATTAAAAATACAAAAAAAAAAAACTAGCCGGGCGAGGTGGCGGGCGCCTGTAGTCCCAGCTACTCGGGAGGCTGAGGTAGGAGAATGGAGTCAACCCGGGAGGCGGAGCTTGCAGTGAGCTGAGATCCGCCACTGTACTCCAGCCTGGGTGGCAGAGTGAGACTCTGTCTCAAAAAAAAAAAAAAAAAAATTATATATATATATATATATTTCTGAATAGGTAATACAGTCCTAATTCAAAAGTTAAAACACTATAAAAAGTTATACTGTGAAAAGTCTCACCACCCCCTTCTTTCACCAGAAATACTTTTTACACGTTATTTGCGTATCTTTCAGATTCTTTATGCAAATAATAGCAAATGTGAATATATATTCATATTTTCACCGTTTTCTTACAGAAATATCTGCATATTCTACACATTCTCTGCATCTTGCTTTTTTCACCTAATAGTCCTATTCTTAAGATCTTTCTCAAGGTGGAGGTAGAGAGCTTCCTCATTCTATTTCATAACTACGTAGGTATCCTGGAGTATATTTAATCCATCCCCTACTAATGGACATTTGGGCCTTTTCATTCAGAGGCTCTCCCGAAGACATCCCGCTGGTCTGAAAGCTTTGAATGACTTAGATTGTTTCTTGTTTTCACTTAAGCATTAAAATCAGACAGAAAAAGAACAGTATAAATTATGTAAGTTTTTTCCCCCTTTGAGAAAATGCTGGATCCTGGAAATAAAGCATTTAAATTTTAGAGAGGTTGTTTTAATAGAGGAGCTTGACACTGAAATCCTATAAATACCATTTTGGGGGGGTTGCCAGAAAAGGGATGTGGTGTACCACCTTGTGGGGTCAGAGATACTAAACAGTGGCTATACACAGTCACGTGTTTCTCCAGGGCTTTAATCTGGGCAATAGCCCCAGAGAGAAATGTTGTTGTTGTTGTTGTTTTTGAGACGGAGTCTCGCTCTATCACCCAGGCTGGAGTGCAGCGGCGCAATCTCAGCTCACCGCAAGCTCCGCCTCCCGGGTTGACGCCATTCTCCTCCCTCAGCCTCCCGAGTAGCTGGGACTACAGGCGCCCGCCACCTCGCCCGGCTAGTTTTTTTTTTTTTTTTTTTTTTTTTTTTGTATTTTTAGTGGAGACGGGGTTTCACCGTGTTAGCCAGGATGGTCTCGATCTCCTGACCTCGTGATCCGCCTGTCTCGGCCTCCCAAAGTGCTGGGATTACAGGCTTGAGCCACCGCGCCCAGCCTCAGACAGAAATGTTACGATTCAAGCAGAGAGAGAAAAGGAGAGACACACAGAGAGAGGTACAGAGATGGAATAAATAAATGGGGAAATAATGAATTAAATGAGGGGCTCGTTTTCTCAGCTCCTTTTTATGGAATGTCATGGGGGCAACCCCCCTGCTCTAGCTCCCATACACTACTTCAGTCTTGTCTATTTTTTAAAATGTGAATGTATTCATGCTTTACTAGGGCTGCTTTAATGACTAGACAGAATCACTAATTGCACATCAGGATGGAAAAAGAATCAAGAACTAATTTCTACCTCTATGCTGTGAAGGCTAATTCCCAACATGGCCTTTGGCAATAGTTCAGAATAAAACAGCCAGCACCATCCCATACAGTGGCTACACAGAAATTCTCTATGGAAGATGTCACCAAGTCTAACAGTGTATAGGAAAGGCATCAGAATTTTCAAGAAAATAAAATATTTCTAAAGAAAAATATTTTTGTTATTTCCAAATAAAAACATTGACTCCAACTGCTAACCAACAATTTACTGGTAGATATTCTATTGGAAGAAACTCATGAATGAGCACAAAGAGATGTGAACAAAGACAGCTACTGTAACCTTATTTGTAACAAAGATTGCATACAATCTAAATATTCACTGAGAAATGAATACATACATCATAATACAGCCTAATATAGAATATCATGCAGCTCTTAAAAATGAAGTTGACAAGCATGCACTGTCTTAGAAAAGTATCCAAGGCATGCTGTTACAAGAAAAGAGGTAATTACAGATTAAGTTGATGCTGCTTTCAAAAAGCACAAAACCAAACTACCTGTTATTCAATGTGTATGTGTGTAAATGCACAGAAAAGGGTTGCAACAAGCAGATTTAGTTGGTAAAAGGATACTGTTATTTTAGCTACTTTTTTATTTATATTTTTTAAAATTATTAAATTTTTAACAGAGTTGGAGTCTTGATACGTTGTCTGCTGGTCTTGAACTCCTGGGCTCCAGTGATCCTCTCACTTTGGCCTCCCAAAGTGCTAAGATTAAAGGCATGAGCCACCATGCCTACCCCTTATTTATTTTTTTTAATTGAGAATATATTCACATCTTATCCTACAGGCTTTAAAACACGAACAATGAAAACATCTATTAGGGTTGCCTTAATATACAAGATTTATTTTTTTTAAAGTATCCTGGAATCTGCTAAGTAAAAAAAAAAAAAAAAAAAAAAAAAAGAAAAAAAACAAGCCTCATTTTCTCCATAATTACACTAGGTATTCTTGAAATCTAATACAAGTAAAAGTTGTTTCTCATCCTCACTGTCGCAGAACTATTAATGTATGTGGCAAACACTTCATTCATAGTGCAAAAGTAGGAAAACTCTGCCCTATGCTGATTACCCCAAATACTAACTGAATGCATCTAAAACAATGGTATTTCCCTGTAATAATTCAAGTAAAGACATCAGTTCACTAACTGGGAATGTCCTGCTTCGTTAAGCCAGACACTTGGAGGAATAATCTCTAAAAAGCTAGACTGTCGTACTTCTAATCTCAGATCAGGATGGAAAGGAAGAAAAGGAACTGAGAACTAAAAAGAGAAATGGAGATCACTACGGTAGAACCAACTAACCTGGAGTTCAGGTGGTCATCTGGGAGACTATCCTGAGGGATTATCTTTCGGGGTCATGAGCAATTAGGATCTCTGAGATCTGCTGACTCCTGCGGCATCATCTGGACAGCATGCCTTCTCATCAGGGTACCCAGAAGGCCTGTCCTCTTCTTCCCCGGGAGGGACTTCGGCATGTCCTTCAAAACGCAGCTCACACATAATCCCTGCTGAGCTTTCCAGAATGTCTCCAGAAAGAACTGTTTCCTCTGCACTTTTCAGCTTTTCTGGCAGCTCACTCTTTGCCATTATTACTCATCTGCTAGCGCTGTGCCTCCTCAAGCCCCTCAGTGATTTCATCAAGGACAGGTTCCTCGTTTACTATTCCACTGTCTAGCACGAGGTCTCATACACAGGGGCTGAGAAGAGCACTTCTGCTGCTGGCTGTGGTCTGTTCATGATGAAGACCCTCCAGACCCCACCCAGGAAAATGAATTGTCTATTTTTTTCTTTGCCAGGTAGTCATCAAAAGAGGGAAGGAGGTGTTTGTTTCCCTCCTTCCTTTAGACAAGAAAGGAAAGTATTTGGCTCAGTCTCAAATGGGAATATGGATCTTTCTCCCTGAAACTGTGCCCTGCTTTAAAAAAGCCACACAGTAACTTAGGAAAGTGATTGGTAATAGGAAAATAATTCTTTGTCCCTTAAAATAATAATTTCACAGTTCCAGTATGTTAAAAATGAAACCAAGTTTCTCTAATTACAGATAAAAGGCATTTCTCACCCTCACTGCCACAAAGCCACAGAACTATTACAGCCGTCTCCCAGCTGGTCCCTCCGTCTTTGGCCTGCACCTCCTCCTGTCCCATCCACTTCTCACCTGGCTGCCAGTC